ATATATATATACAAACATACACATGTACACCCAACTAAACGGTGTTATAGGCTAATTGCTTATTGAAAGATTCATGGCAAAATGTACGGTAAATCAGCCGACACACACACAATCATACACGCTCAAATACGAAAGATGCAAACGTGCAATTTAACTTTTGACACTCTGTTTAGATGCAATTAGTAAATAGAAGAGGTGTGAACTAAAGCGATTGCATTCGATTTGCCGCCACCGAAATTCACCGAAATGGTGAGCCAAGATGCATTGGATTTTATTTGTAATTTCGCTGATTTTTCTGAATTTTCAACAAAATTTACGACGGTTTGAACGGTTTGTTTATCTGGAATGTACGTACATACATACATTTGTGCATATAGTATATACATAGTATATAAGCACTGATATATTTGTGGTGCGAATAAATAGTGAATAATATTTATCTCATTTTAATTGTAATTATTTTAAACATTTTGAATAAGAGCTTTATAAAATTTTGCTATAAGTTATTAATCGGCAGGAAAAATGTTGTTAGATTGTTTTTGTGACAGGCGAAACATCTGTTAATGAAAACTTCAACAAGGTCTTAGAAAACTGGGTTGACGAATTTGATATTACGGAGTCGACTGAGAGACCGTCACATTGAAAAACATACTATAGATATGATAGCAATACCTTTAAGTATGCACTAATACTATTTACATTATACAATATTTTTTTTTAAATAAGTAGGTTGCGAATTCAGCAAAAAATAACAATTTTTTATTATACCATCATAAAATTGTTTGTAAGACACATTCGGCATATAATATTAAAAATGTCATAAAACGTTGCCGACATTCCGGAATCAAGAAAATTAATGTGTCAATTTAACGACATCGATCAATTTTATGGCAGCTTAATTTCATAGTGATCTGACATTGGTGGCATACGAGATATGTGCTGCTTCTTGGCAAGAAAAGGACGTAAGTATGTAAAATTTTAAATCGATACCTCAAACACTGCGGGTCTAGTACGCGGATATGCAGATAGACAGATAGATGGACATGGCTAAATAGACAAATATACATACAAGTATATATATTTTATGGAGTGTTCAACATTTCCCTCTGTGTTCAGAGCCAACGAGTGTGTTTCACAATTTGGAAAGTTAGGTCGAGAGTAGTAAATGTTTATAGAGACTCTCTCAAAATGCATTAGCAAAGCTTTAGATGTTATGATTAGCCATAAAATTATAGCTTAGTTCATACATAGAGCATTATTGCGTTAAATCAGTCAATAGAGATCCTCGTTTTGTTTTTGTGATAACACTTAAGTGACATAACATCTTTCCACTATATTTGTTATAAACTGAAAGGCAAGAAAACGAGAAATATTTTATATTTATAGAATAAAACTATTGTATTATATTTTGTATGCTATTTTTTTGTAATTACTTATAGTAAATTTGTGGCTCGAATGTCATGGTAATGTGGTAATATTGTTCTATAAAATAAATTATTGAAGAATTGTGGGAGAAAGATGTTTTGTTTATACATACCATACATACTTTTTTATTTCGCTTCTTACTCAACAGGTTTAATCTTGTCAGTGTAGTAATCAAATTTTTTTTTTCAAAGAGGTACCACACTGCTCATAAAGTGTAAAATTTATTAATGCTTTCAATAATTTTTCGCTTTTTTCCAATGAACTTCTCGTGAAATGCATAATTTTGCATACAAACACCTTGTTTAATTGGTTAGGAAAAAATGCAATCGAATTGCAATCAAAAGTAATAATTACGGTGTGTGCAAAAAGTGGACCCACCGGTTGCGCTTTTGTCACACATACTGGTATCCAGGGGAAAAACGTGAATTAATTTGAAAAAAAATAAAACGAAAACAAACAGCCATGATATGGGTATGTAGGTAAATAAGCGCATGGGCATACATAGGGTAGCATTTTTATTATTTGCGTGACTATATTTTGATAAGTGCACGTGATTCACGAATAGCTGCAGCATGTTGACATGATATTGAAAATTACAAATTTCATTTATCTTTTAAATGGTTATAGTATTTTATTAACTTCTGTAAACTAGTAGGTAATATAAGCTGCTGTCAAGCGATGAAAAGCTTGTTTTTTTTAAATTGTAATCTAAAGAAAATTTTAAAAATAATTTACTATAGCCAAATTAATGTATTATTCGCTGACTCAGTGCTAAATAAATATATTTTAAAGTGTTTTTATAAAGACATAAATAAAATATATTTATATTTTTATTTTTTTTTTTTATGTTTATTTATATTTTCTTCCATTATTTAGTGTTCCTATTTTTATGCCACGCAAGTGTAAAATATAAACACTGTAGTTCTTTATGACAGAAAGTAGCGAAATTTCAATTAGAAACACGTAGCTTTCCACGTTCACTGCTGATTTTAATATTCTATTACTTAACATTAACCGCAAATAAATTAAATAAGAAAGTTTTGTTTCCATTACGTAGGGTAAACATTAACTAATAAAATGAGAGAGCTTATTTGTTGCCAAAAAAGTAAATATGTAGAAAAAGTCAATACAAATGTTCAAGGAAACAAAAAGGAAAATAATTTAGAAAACAATCGTTTTAGAATTTTTCCAGTATTTTCAGTAAGATTATGTAAAATCAAAAATACATAAAAAAAATAATAACCCTTATTCATAAAATGTTCTGTTCTGTTATGTACCCTAATTCGTTTAATCAACGCTTTAATGAAAACACTTTAGAGAATGACGCATATAACCCAGCGCAAATTATGATTACATTATATACAGTTAGAGTGTTCTTATACGAAAAGTGGCATGATGTTCATCCTAAGTCAAAGCTGGACTTCCCAAATGCCTTTAACCTGATTAAAGCAATATATTAATAAACTAATAGTACAAAATATTGATTATTTTCTTCATTCGTCTGTCAAAACACTTCACACCTTCATAAAGGTAATCCTCAATTTTCTGAAAACGACCTTTAGACGACGTTTTTAGAATATCTCTTTGATTTTAAAAAATTTAAATCCTTACACCTAGATTGGAAATGGTTAAAAGAACTTTTTATGCGACAACAACAACGTTATTTCTATAAAAATTTAAACTGTGCTCGAAACAATTTCGTTAAATCAGTACTCATTTTTACTAGAAGATAGAGGTTTCATTATAAATTGAGTGTACATAAAGACAAATGATTTGCAATTCTAAAAACAAAAAAATCTTGGAAAATTTTCATTCGGTTTTAGATAACAAAGTATCATGAACATTTTGTTTTCATTCGAACAACATGGACTTTTTAAAAAATTGTTGCTGGAAAAACTGTTGAGATCCCAATGATTACAGTCTGTTGTTGAGCTTAAACTCAGCCCACATTCCGTTATATGTAGATAGATAGATAGATAGGTTAATATGAGGTTTTGCACTGCGACCTAGGGTCTATTGTGCCCTCTCCTCCATCACATGCATTCCCGAAGTCCCAGCACCCTGACAAACTTCAGAAACTCGCTGGGTGCTATTCAGGCAATATAATCCCTGTCCACATAAATGGAACCGAGGTCCTTGAACCTGCGTCTACAAATCGCGGTGCAATCTAGAACCAGGTGTTCTGGTGTTTCCGGCCCCATGTCGCAGAACCTTCAGAGCAATGAATATATACAATAGATCCGACTTTCTTGAGAATGGGTCAAAAACTAACATTTTTACAGTGAAGAATTCTGTTAAGTGTTGATACTGTAAGAGAAATAATTCAGCTACTTCCTCATATAATAAGAAATTTTAAAGAAGGAATTAGATAACGAAATTTGGTTCTCCGTTTTTAAAAAAAATAGTTTTGGTCAATCAGATCAGCTTAAAAATTAATTGCTCTTGAGAGAAAATCTGGCTTTAACCATTTCTAAAACAAATTTACTCTTTCTCTATTCCCAGCACATTTACCAAATTATGACTCTTTTCTGTTACCATTTTTTTGGTGAAATATTTTGGTTAAATTATTTTAAAGAGTTTATTAAGGTTTTTTAAAACATGTTACGTTTACGTTTTTTCTTGTTTTATTGATTTAATATACAAGTATGGCGTTTTTGGGACTACTCTTATGGAGAATAGGATAATCATTATTGATATTACAAAAAAATAAATAAAACAAAATCTTTCAACTTTATTACGAAAATTCACGTTCTGTAAAGAATGTGTTACGCGCGCTTCGCTCAACTTATGGTCAACATAATCGGCCAACTGAGCGTATTAATCGCAATACCATAACCCATCTTGAGACCCAGCATTCATTATTAGATAATATTCGACCGAATAGATCACAGTGAAGAAAATATGGCGACCGTAGCTGAGAGTGAAGACCGTGGAGAGTCGATTCGGCGCCGTTCGCAGCAACTGGAACTGACGTATGGAACGACTTGACTCATTTTACGTCGAGCTCTTAAATTGAAAGCGTACAAAATACAGCTTGTGGAAGAACTGAAGCTGCTCAACATTCCCAAGCGGCATCGCTTCACTCTTTGAGCTCTTGAAACGTTCCAAGAAGATCCGACGTTTTCGAACCAAATTTGGTTCAGCGATGAAGCCCATTTTTGGCACAATATGTACGTAAACAAACAAAATTGCCGCATTTGGGACAGAGAGTAACCTGAAGAGATTCAAGAGCTGTCATTTCATGCAGAAAAGATAACGGTTTGATGTGATTTGTGGGCCGGTGGAATCATCGCTTTACAGCAAAATATCACGCGTGTCGGGCAACATTTGAAAGAGATAATCTTCAAACAAGAAATGCTGAAGTATATTCTTTCGGATGATAATAAATATTCCTCACAAAAAAAAGTAGCGAAAGTCGAAATAGATCACCCTATATTATATGAAAGAATCAACAACCTTGCCTTTCTAACGCCTACCAGAAATGTTTACTATGCATTTGCTCACCTTACTGTTATCAGCCTACTTGTTGCTATTGTTTTGTGAAATTTTCTTGCGAAATTAAATTTTACACTTACCTGTAATACCCTACAGCGCTACCGTTCTGTCTCTCTTCTGGTTTATTTACGTTGGACAATCTTCTTTTCGCTCGCTGTGCTCGGTGTTATCTTCGCCTCTTTAGCCTTTTAACTCTTCATTATTTCTTTTTTGCAACACTTGATCGTTATCTTAAGTACATTTATTTTCGTGTATACATATGAGTATTTACGTATATGTGTGTGTGGTTTTTTTTTATCTTAGGCTTAAGAAACTTCGTCACCTTCTTTTTTGTGCTTTTGAATGCGACAAATTTATTTTGTTTATTTCAACGTCGAACAGACCGGTCAGTCCTTTAATAACAACCGTGAAAACACTACTCAAATACAACAAAAACAACAATTATACAATTAAGCCAATAGTATGTGTCATCCAGGTGGAAACATACATATGTATGTTTACTTGTGATTTTTTTTTTTTTTTTTTGATGTCAGTATGTACTTAAATAGTATTTTGTATATAAAATGTGCGCGTATTTGCCTTAAGTAAATATGTATTGCAAATATTGTATATATGTATTTTTGTGTATACTTCACAATCCATGATGTTTGAACGGGGGTGTGTGCGGAGCGTATGTGGTCACTATTTGTCAAACAAAGTTTTTGTTTCTGTATAGGTAAATGCATGTACATATGTACGTATGTATGTACGTATCGTTTGTCATTGCTTGTGCTGCGGATCAAATTATTAATTTTTATTTGTCTAGCTTCCGCGGTGTTTGTTATTTATATTTTTTTTTTGGTGTTATTGTTGTAAAAAGTGAAAGAAATCGAATTTTGTCAACCCACAAGCATTAAATGTGCCAATTGTTTTGATTTAACTACGCATATACAATTGCCAAACATAAACAATTTTTTGTATATTTAAAATAAAAATTTTAAATTTGTTTTTAGAATAAAATATTTAAAAAATAATTTAAAGTCATTACATATATAAATTTTATATATAATAAAATGTTCGATTACACCCGAACTTAGTCCTTCCTTCTTTTTAATACAATTTAATTTAATTCATTTTTAATAATTTATAAAACTATGTCCAATTTTTTTAAGTTTTTTTATATATTTTTTTTTAATATATTTTAATTTAATTCAAATTCAAATAATTTAAAAATTTTTTTTTATTATATAATTTTTTATGTAATAAATAAAATTATTATAATTTTTTATATATTTATCTCAATAAAAAATGATTTAATTTCTTATTAATTAGTTTTTAAAATAAAAAATATGTAGTTTCGTTTCAATAAATTTCAATTTAATTTCCTTTTAAGAAATTTTTGAAATTTATAATTTTTTATAAAATATAAATTATAATTTTTAAAATTAATTGTCATGTTATAATTCTTTTTTATAAGTTGTTTTTAATAAATTTTTATTTATATTCACTTTAATTCATATTTCAAATTGATTTTTTTTATTTTATCTTGTATAATTTTTTTTAATTTTTGTTATATGATTTTTATTTAATTATTGTTTTATTTATAAATATTCCCTTGTATTATGCAATAGTGTATTAAACCATTGAGTAATTAAAAATAAAAATTAAGATTTACAAATATGCATGTGCTCTACACTGACTACCGTTATTATTCTTTTTTTTTTAATTTCTTTAATTTTGTTTTCTTCTTTTATCACTCGTCTCCACTAATTACACACTTGCAAATAAGCAGCCGGTATTTTAGTGCAAATGATAGGCGCTTATTCAACCGGTTTCTCGCGCAATTTGAACGTATTTACGTTTTGTTATTATATTGTAATTTCACCGCTTTGCTTTTGTTTTTGCCTGTCAACCGCGCCAACGACCGCGCACATCAACGTTTTGTAGTGAACTGAAGCGTCCAACAAAGTCACTATCAATTGGCGGCCACTAAAGTTCCCAACGATACATACCCATTGTGATGGAGCGTCATTGTGTCATTGCTTAGCTTCCGCGCGCTCATCAACGCTCGCAGCTGGTCATAGCCAGAGAACTTAAAACAAGAACACTTGTTTTAAGTTCTCTGGTTGTATGAATCGCCACAAGCCGTTATGTTGCCGGTGTGCACAGTTGGCACTTGCTGGGTTAATCGTTTGATTGCAAATAATTCGCCGCATTTGTGGTGAGTTTCAGTTGTGTTGTTATGAAATTAGACGCGGTGAAGCAGCGTTTCAGGCGTAACACTGTTTTTTTTTTTGTTTTATTCGAGAACTTTCTATTCTACTCTACATAACTTTTCGTTCACGTTCTCTGGTTTTATTCGAGACTGCAAAAGCCTTTAAACCATTCAAAAACTTACTTATGTCTTGAAAAGCTTTGTGCTCTCTATTTATAGTTGGACTGCCAAAATCAGTTGCGTTTCATTCCGCATTAAAATTAATTCGACATTTTGAATGGTCAAAAGGGTTTCTGTTTGTACTGAGAGATCTTCGTCTTCCGTCATTAGTTTCTCCGAACGTTTTTGCCAAGTGAACGCTAGTTGAAACCGTTACGCTTTGTTTAAAGGATGAAAATCTTGTTACTCTGGGAATAAAGCGAAAACCACTTAAAGACGGTTCAACCATGCTTGGAATCCCTAAACCATTGAACACATTGGCTTGAAGTCTAAATTCCAGCAGAAGAAAGATTTTAATTTGGAAATATCCGACTTGGCAAAAGACGGCTGTAGCTCAACAACTCGAAATGAGACTTTGTCTATAAACAGTTGGAATGATCTGATTTAGCTCAAATATGTATCATTTTATTCGATAACTGGTTGACATTAAGAAGAGAATTTCATAACTCCAGTCTCTTGAAATCCTCTTCCCTATTGGCAACAAACTGGGACAATCGATTTTACAAGCTTCTCTTGAGGCTAATTTTTCACCAGCAAATCATTCGCCATAGACAGGAACGGGTAATAATCATTTATTTACAGGCTCCGACTATGCAGTGTATGCAGAAGTACCTTCAATTCAAGGTCTCGGAGCTTCTGGCAAGTCACTATCGATGTCTGGCGTTACTTTGATGAAACAAAATTTCGCTCATAAAGCAGGTGGCTTCCGGGCGATTGATGCCTTCAGACGATCCGATTGTAAAGAATTAAGAGTCTGGCTGCAGGGGAATAGCTCATGGTAGATGACTCCCTGCTAGGTTTGGTGGGACCAATAGTAAAACCTTGCTCACCGTTAATTCTGGCTTGGCCACTGTTTGCGGCAGCTCACCGCGTTACGAACACAACCGTTGACTTGGCGTAGTCGTAAGTGGCCCAGTTTTCATCGCCAGTAGTTATAACGATTTTATTGTAATTTAGCAGCGATTCGCGGATTGAAATTCAGTATATATCGAAGAAAAACTGTAAAATATTTCGTATTTTCTCTTAATTGGTGTGTATCTTTGAAGCGTGCGCAAACAATACCAAGTTAAACACTAAACTATGTAAGCTTTTTAAGTGGGTAATCCTATCTTTCTAGCGCCGTATAGCGTTAACCGACGGCACATATAGAAATCGAGATACATATTACTAAAGCCATCTATTGGAAAAATATTGAATTTATTTTAACTAGACCTTATATGAAGATTACATTCCAAAGTAATGAACAAATGAAAAACGAATTAAATCTTAAAAATAGCCCGAGACCGTGACCTTCCCCATAGACCTTCGTTTCAGCAAAAAATTGTTCTATTCCCTCATGTTGCTCCTTTGTAAATAATATAATCTTTCGAGCTCGTTTATCATTAGTCTACTCGTGGAGACTTCTTCGTAAAAAATTCTTCGAAGGAAAATGATTTTACTTACCTGAGCAACCAACTCTACCAATAATATTTTAAAATTTCAACTATTTCCAATTCAAATACTGTTTTGAAACATTGCTTTATTACGAATACTTTATTGCCTATGCTGAATAACGTATTTGTTTTATCTAAGAATTTACCACAGAAGACATATTTATTTGATGACATAACTAATTGCAACCGAGTGAGTGATTGAGTTTTTTTCTTAGCCACTTTAATGTTCGTGATCCGATGTTGTTATTCTAGCAAAAAAAAAACATGTTAAAATATTGCAATTAATAAAGATAATAAAAAAAAAACATAATAAGTTGACTTAAAGTTATTGCATTATTATTGTTATTAATTTCTGATCTGAAAACAAAATGACATGTATTTATCAGGAGAGTGGCCAAAACGATCTATCCTAGTTTGAGAACTATCATATAATAAAACTCTATTTGTCTCGAATTTTCTAGATAAAAGTACATACTGTTGTAAAACCAGTTCAAATGGTCTTTGAGTTTTCGACAGTAGAACTACAAGAAAGCTCCATGTATATCCATTTGCTGATTAAACGTATATGCTCGTTTTGTGAACCCGACTCTAATCGTCTTTGAGTCTATGACAGGTGTTACTTTGAAAATTTTGTCTAAATTGTTTTAAAATTTTTGAAAATTCATGATCCACTGAAAGAGGAGTTTTAAAGCTAAAATTTCATCTAGCAGTACTTCCAAAAATATTGTAGAACATTTGAAATCTTCAAAATTGTGACCAGGATAATAATAGATAGAGCTAGATATATAAGAGAGAGCAAAAGGTTTGATATAACTGTCTACAGCAGTGACCCGATATTAGATAGATAAATGGAAATTGAATAAAAATTTTATTTTCGGAAGATCAGTTAATTACGTTGGCTATCAGCTAGGTAGCGTATTTGGTCACAGACACCAAAATGCTGAAATTGGTAAGATCTTAAGTATAAGTGGGATCACGAACATTGAAACCGTATACTATTGTTGTTTTAGCGGTGGAAAACATTCCACAAATAATATTATAAAATGCTGCCGGATTGACAGTCCATGGCCGGAAAACAGTTCGGCAAAATAAATCACGGAAAACGAACAAAACTATAAGTTTACCTTTTTTTAATTAGCAGCAGTGTAGATTTCTTCATAACAAAGAGCGCGAATATAATTAAACCTTGGGATGCGTTGAATAAATCGGCCACTTTAAAAAATAATGTTGAACTATTTTTTTCTCCCACTATATAACCGATCATTTCCAATATCCAACTGATGCCCATTACAACGAACAAACGAAAGAATAGCCAAACACTATGAAAGAACACATATCATAAATTAATTTCTTAATTTTTATCGGATCAAACAACTCACCTATGCTCATGTGATTTCGTATGACTTGAGCTGTTCATACTCCTTGAGACCTCTTTAATTTCTTTGCAATCGCAATAGATCTTGCGCGCAGTTAAATAAAATAGCACTGTATTAATGGTGATGAGTAAGAAACAGGGCCCATGAAAATACATCATTGCTGACCAATTATCGGCTGGAAGTCATAAGAAAATAAAAATAAAGATAATCTCTTAATATTTCGTTATGGATTGTCTTACTTTTCAGCCAGCAATGGGATTCACCGATACCTGATTTGTATGAAGTATTTATAGAAGATAACTGTAATGTCATGGTCACAACAGTCATCAACATTGGCAGTCCCCAAGCATAGAGTGAGTAGTTGCGAAAATTTTTACGCTTCGAATATCGTTGCGCAGCAGTGAAGGGGTGAGTAAAGCTGGCCCAAATATCGAAACAAATGATATTGAGCCAAAAGAATGCGCCCAGATAGAAGTAATATGCGACCGAGCCTATTGTAAATATAATGTATTTAAATGTGAATGAAAGTAAATTAAAATAAAATTTATAAAAAACACTCACCAATTATTCCACATGGAACGGGATCGTATTCCTTTGTTCTCAAGTTGATCATAATTATCATCGTATTCGCAATTATTATCGAGAACATATAGCAAATTAAGCATTTGTAATATAAACTTTTATATAGCTCCGGTATGGCCCAATAGGTCAGTATGGTTAACAATAAAAAGGGCAAGGAAACTAACATTACTGTTTGGAAGAAAATGAAGCTATTAATTATGAGAAAAACTTTTATCGATGTTTGTAGACTTCGGCGCCCTATTTTTTTTGTCCATTCTATGAACTGGTCACTGAGGTTCGCCATTATTTCGTGTAATAGCAAAACCAATAAATTCATTAAAATTATCTTTGTTTATAAATAATAGCTCTGTATAGGTCAGTTAGTACTCTCATTATACCCCAATAAGCGTTGTTTAGAAAGCGTTGAATAAATAGCTCACCTTCCTAAAATGTTCCACAGAATTCATTTTACTATTGACACCTTGCAATTCTTCCAGAAGATACCTGATCGCCTTCTGCGATTAATGGATGAGCCTAAGCCTCAGTATAAATATATGTATATTAGGGTGGAGCGAAAAACAGTCATTTTTTTTTGCTTAGCCTAAGTGTACAATTTGTAGATTATAAAAAAAAAAAATTTTAAATAAACAATTTTTTTAACATCTAAATCTAATAAATTATAAAATATTTAATTTCGTAAAAAAATTTTGATAAGTGTTCTACAGTCCTCTTTCTGGACAATTCAAAGTTATCAACTTAAAAAAAAATTTTGGGGTCAATATTGGAGTTTTAAACAAAAGTCTTAAACGACAACATGCTTTCCTTAAGCGTTAAAATAAATTTTGAGTCAAAAACCGTTAAATTCGGTAATTTTTATATAAATATGAAAAGTTCAAATCAAAAAAAAATTTTTTGTCCAGGGCCGCCTCTAGATGTAAAAAAAAATTTGTTTTCCAAAAAATGTTTTCCAAAAAAAATTTTTTTTTTGATAATCGACAAATTTTACCCTTAGGCTAAGCAAAAAATAATAATTTTTTTTTCGCTCCACCCTAATGTATATTATAACATAGTATATATCAGTTTACAAAATCCAATGCATCAGTTTACTCAAATATCGGTAGAGCCACTGGAGAAGCTTCTGTTTTTTAATTATATTAGTATCAGAGAATAAAAAGCTCCAACTTCACCTGCAACGAAGCTATAATATTTTTCACAGGTGCATTTTGATAGCGAATTTGGATATAAAAAGAGTTTTGTTTTGATTGTGATCGATCAGTCCATTCTGAACAATATGTTTGGAGATTGTGGTAATGCCTCACATAATATTCTATGTCCAATTTCATGAAGATACCTTGCCAAATAAAAAAGTTGTCCATACTCAGGGACTAATTCGCGTATATACAGACAGACGTATCATTTATATATATGTACACTTTACAAGGTCTCCGACGATTCCTGTTGGGTGTTACGAATATCGTGGCAAACTTAATATAGCCTGCTCAGGGTATAAAGAGCGCCAAGGTCTAAAGAAGTTTTTCTGATTTCCTTTCGTTAGAAAATGCTTTTTATATAAATATGTGTGTTTAAAAATAATTTACCTATAATGTTTGTGTCAAACTCCAGTCTCAGTACTAAGATGCCGCAGTTATATGGTTGTAACTGAAATACACCACTATTATTATAAGAAGCAGACATGCAATAACCGCTGCGGTTCAACGCCTTCTTGTCGTATAAGCGCAAAAAAGTGCCATTCTATAAAATTTCACAAATTCAAAGTTTTCGAAATCAAATAACCATATAATTACTTATATACCTCATATAAGCGCCATTCGTCAATATATGGGTCTAGCATGTACCCTTTTTCACATGGTATTCCCACCTGCACTACGAATTCTTTCAGTACATTCTTTAAAACTTCACTACCATCAGACAAGCTAATATTTATATTTAACGTATATTTGTCTTTGTCAGAAAATTCCACACATTCCCATCCTTGGTTCTTCTCCAGTAACCTCTCCCTCGGAGTGCAACAGAGCTTGAAGCAATTTTTAATTTGACACACACAACCACGCAGATGTCTCGCAACTTTTTGAGATTTTTCCTCATTTTCAATGTATTCGTAGGAGCCGGTCATATTCGGGGGTATCAGCACACCTTCGTAAAGGTAAGAACCGTTGCTAAATCTTTTGCTACCGGTTATGTTGACAGTGTCTTCAAAAGGGCAATTCGGAATAATCGATAAAGCATCGTGTGAGTCCATTAAATAAATCACAAAGTATAAAGCAAAAAATAGGTGAACAGTTAAGTTAGTCATCTTTGCAAACTTTCCGGTATGGCAATCCTAGAATTTGATACATATAACAATTAAAACTTTTTGTAACAGTTACTATAAAAAAATTAAAATAAATATATAAAATTAAATGAAATCAACTTCATATATTTATATAGATGGCCACCCTATTCAAAAAAGAGTATAATTAAAAGAAGTAAGGTTCGGGTGTAACCGTACATGCAAGAAGCAAAGGCCGGGAAATTTCTTCAAGCGGTGGGAAAGTTTATATTACAAAATGTAGCGAAAGTATTAAACATTTATTAATCCATGAAATTGTGAATAAATCACAATCAAGTTTAGTATCTTCTTGAATTATATTGCAGACCATAAACTTAGACTCAGTTTTATTGTTATAATTTAGTTCGCGCCAGATAAAATTATATTAAAAACACGTTCAAATGAGATATACATACATATGTATGTGATATTAACTCGACCGAAGCGCCTAAATTTAATATATATTTAGTTGATGTGGAAAACGTCAACCAGAGGATCTGAATTCATTGTATTAAGGATATGAAGTTTAGACCAAGGTATAAATTATAATTCGGCGTCAAACCAAATAATTTTTAAGAAAACTTTTTCCTTTAATTTCATTAAAATATTACATTTTGACCAATCTAAACGATTGAAAGTCAGGTAGAAAGAAGGAAGTCATTATATGGGGTATATACATTAAACGTCATATTCGGCATAAAACTCATTAGAAAAACAAAAATCATTATATGCAATAGACGGGAGTTGGGGATAGTATTGATCCGATTTCATCTATTTTTGCCATTATCACAGGCAAAAATATTCCCAGGCTTTCATTCAGGTACCTCAGGGGCTTGAACAGTTTCAGTTCTATTTGCACAATTTATTTGATCATTAGGTAACATACTTTAAAGGCACTATTCATGCCAATTTTTATACCGTTATATTAATTGGTACTTGATTTGTATATCGGAAAGTGAAGGAATCGGATAGAATTTAAAATTGTGTTAGTAGTTTTTAACAAAACCATTATGGGGAGTGGGCGTGGTTATTATTTGACCATATAACGGTTATGTTCAAAATTACTAAAAGTGTGATAACTCACCGAATCAAAGAACCACAAACAGCCAGAATGGCAGGGAAGGCCGTCGAGGTATTTGATCTTCCGTCTAAAAATTGTCGAAATCGCACTATAATTTGTACCAGAAAAAGATAAAAGCAGGTCAACACTTCTTTTAGCCTCCATATACCAAACATAAATATTTTCGAACCTCCGGTTCACTATATACCGCATCTATCGGTCAATATTTAAGAAATCTTCACGAAATTCATAAAAAATATTTTTCTACCAACAGTGTATTCTCTTTCCTTAAATCATGGCGATAATTTTCTTAGTTTGATATAAAGTTTTGCCAAAACCTGAAGGTGTTCCTACGCCTTTGTTCCTTGCAAGTTGCAAGAGTATGTAATGTACACTCGAACTTTGGCATTCCTTACTTCTTTCTTGTTTGTGTTTAATCCATTAGAAATAATGATGGTTATTATTATTCGACTACTCGTATTCTCTAACATAGGCTTTCATTTTTATATACCACATATATGAATCCATATACATACATATATTAATAATAATGTGTAAGTTAATCATAATTAAATTTATATATACATATACATATATATATGTATAATTCGCCCAGAAAACACAGACTTTGGCACGTTAGTCACAATAGTATATTAATTCACAAATATCGTTTTTAACAAAATTTCCATTAAAATTCAGTTATTTTTATTTTCCACAACTCCACTATATCTACGACTATTTTTTTAAATTTTTCTATTATTTTAATATTTTCATTTACTAACCGAGAAAATAATTTTATAAATTTATTTCAAATTACACCGCCGTGCTTTTAGTACGCTTGCTGTTATTAATGAGCTCAAATCTAAATATAAACTGGCTTATGTTTTTATGCTAAAGCTATATTTTACCAAATTTTACTCGCAAAACCGCAGAATGTTTTGCAATCGGTTATTCAAATAAATTTAAACATTTTATTTTCTCTCTCTTCTCTCAGTAATTTTTGTTTGCTGATATAAATATAAGTATGCATACTATGGCGATCCAATAAGTACTTAATCGTTAGAAAAATGGCGATTTATATCTCAACATAGTCTCTTATAGCTGGCCGAAGCACTACCCTTAGCGATACTACAACTTATTTTAATCGTTTGAAAAATACATCTTTTAAAAGTTTGCAAAGTTACCCTCATGGCGGCGATAGCCTTCTCGTTTGACTTAAATTTGTACACGGTGAGTGATCCAATTCACTGTGGCTACCGCCTTTCCAACCGATGAGCTGGTATTTACCTTTTTCGGAGCTGGTTCGTCGGGTAAAGTTCACTGTTTCGACTGTTCCTTCATCTATGGTGTATACCAATTGATTCACATTTTTAGCACAAGAAGTAGTCAACGTATACAGCGAGTAATAGCTCCTGAATTTCACTGCGCACTTTGCCTTCGGAAATTTAGTCACCGAACGATAATGCTATTTTTTATCTATTTGTCTACAATTTACGTGTGTTCCACATTTAGTCGAAACAAACTTGCTATCCTGATTCGGCTGAAAGTTTGAGTGTAACCGTTTACGAGAACGCACTATACGATATCAACAATCTCATGCGTAAGTAGCGCCATCGGGCGGTCATGCCAAGTACCAATTAGAGTGTCCTCGTCTTGTACATATATATATATATTGTGAAAAAAAATTCTAAAGCCATTTTATGAAGCGGCTATTTTCAAATATATACATATTTGCTTTGGTTTACAAACCCAAGAATGACTCTACTAAGGGATTTTCAATTACTCAACTAAATATTTATATACTATTGTACGATACAACCGATATTTGTATCCAATGTAAACTTTACATATTCATACATCGTATAGGTCCTCTCACATGCGACCGTAAAAGTCTCTTCGATAGCTCACGTTTGCATACAGGGATGTTTTTCAAAGGGTTTCTATGCATAAAACCTTGCCGCTTGGACTAACAAGAGCCGCAGTGAATTGTTATTACTTTTAATTTGTATAAACACATGTTAGTTAAAGGATACCATAATATGTGTAAAAAATTTTTGGATTAATAAATTTACAAGTTTTCTCAGAAAAACTTCTGGAAAATTCTCTTTTTTTCAGCCTTCTAACTATATAACCCCTAAAATCGGACCACTAAAGCATATAGCTGCCATACAAAATAATCGATTAAAATCCAGTTCTTGTATGGGAAAACTTCTGTATTTGACAATATACGAGGACTTCTCTTCACAACGCTTTAATCTCCGAACAAATTGTTCAGAGAGAACAACTATAGCATATAGCTGCCATTCAAACTGATCGAAATCAAGATTGTATACCCTTTTAGGCTATCAAAAATGCACCTGTTATGGGTATAATAGCTACAGTGCCGCTGAAGTTACAATTTTTTATGTTGTTTTATTTGGAGCTAATTTAGGAGATTTATTTATTTATTATCATAAAATAATTTTTACCACAACATAAATATCATGCGGAGATTACAAGAGCTTAGGAGTATACAAGTATATTATATAATCTAGAATTAAATTTTTTGAAGTTCGCTCACCGTCTAAGCAGCATTGAGCAAGACCCTCCAACAACAGCCGCAAAATATGATTCATATACGAGTTAAATTATTTATTTCAAACAAACATTTAGTTTTTCCTCAAGCCAAGTCTTTTGTAAATTTCTTAATTTTTTTTTTTTAATTTCGTTCAACTCTTTCTGTATACTATACCATACCGTCATCACCACCAATTTTGAACTTTGCTCTCTTCTTAGAAAAATACATGAAAAAACAACAACAGTGTTAAGCATTTCAATTGAATACAAGAGAAAAGGGAAGGGGTATTACTCATATTAAACGCATTAAAATTAACAAGAATGTAAAATTTTATATAACTGTAAGTGTTGCCACCCAGCAAATAAAAAAAAATAATTCAAAACACTAATCAAAGACAAATATTTTTGAAATATTTCTGAAAAAATTTAATTAAAAAATTCACCAAAAGTTGCCAAATTAAACTAAATTAATTAACGGACTTTAAACCTAAAGTTAGCTGCTAAGTGGACTTCCAAACTCATGGAAAAAATTAGTTTTTATGAAGATCTGTATCTTCATTTTAATCGGCAGCTAACTGCTATAGTGGTCCGGTCTGAACAATATATACGGATATTGTATCATTGCTTTAGACAATAATGCATGCCAAATTTCCTGAACATGCCTTGCCCCATACAAGGACCTGATTATGATCAGTCGTTTATTCAAACAAACAGTTTGTATGGCAGTTATATCCTTAGTGGTGCGATAACGGCGATTTCGAGAAATGAGCAGCTGCTTGGAGAAAAGAGCGTGTGCAAATTTTCAGATTTCTATCGCAAAAACTGAGGGTCTAGTGTATAAACAGATATACGAACTTACAGACTAAATCGTTTCAGCTCGACACTCTGATCATTTACATATGTATGTATACTTTAAAAGGTCTTCGACGTTTCCTTCTGGGTTTTACAAACTTCGTGCCAAACTTAATATACCCAGTTCCGCGGTATAAATAAGATGTAGAATAGATTTAACAACTTACCATATGACTAGCATATGAACAATTCCGTGCTAAGTGAAACACCATAAAAACTAAGCTTACAAAAACCATTTTTTCAAATAAACTCTAAAAACAAAATTTATTTGCATCAAAACTTTATTCCCTAAGTTGTGTTGTTTTTACGTCAAGCTAAAAAAGAAATATTATAATCATTTCATATTCTATGGAAAAGAATATAGAGATAGAAGCCATTAGAACAGCAGTTTCAAAAAGGTGTCAATTATTGCTAAGAAAAACTAAAAATAAATGCTTTTCAATTTCAATTAGATTGGTTTTCGAACTTACACTATATAAAAAATAAAGCAGTAAGGTATTTTTTATTACAGTGGCAATTCTTTGAGCAAAAATAAATTATATTTTCTAAATATTTTTACCTCCAATTAAATTTCTAAACTACTTAGGAAATTTTATATAAACGACCGTTTTAAGCCTTGGTATGTCTCTTTAAGTAATTTTATTGTTTTTTGAAGGAATTTTCAAAGAACTCGCCGAAAAACTGTGCCATGAGGGTATACAACTTAGGTTATATTTGTGATATTTTACTTTGTAACTAGAAAGTTCTGATTTCAAACCACTGTAAAGAAAATGCCGCAAAAATATATTAAATCTATGTAGGTTTAAAAAATACATTATTTTTGCATAAAATTGAAGTTTTTTTTAGCATAGTCAAATTGATCCGATTCAGGTTTTTCGATATCTTTTGTTCAAAAACTTGTTGCTATTGCTATAAATCTTTTCTCTCTTGGTAACACAGTCGATTTTCACAAGTTTTTGATCTCATTTTTAATAAATCCGCTTTTCTAGATGAAAGATTTTCTTTCTTACTTTTTAATCTGGTATGTGGGATTAAACATTTTTTTGGCATTACAAACTTAAAAAAAAAATTTTATTGAAATGTTAATGCAAATATTTTTTTGCAACCCTGGTCACCAGTAACAATGCCCTCCAGATTCGGTTTTGTTGCGGTTCGCTGATGGAAATCCGGTCCATGTAGTTTTTTTTCGTTAACTCGTGTAGCACCAATAAATCGAACTTCTTATTATATCTCGCCTTATTAAAAGGGCTCCAAAAGTTTTTTTGTGCAATATTTAGCTCGCGGACAATCGAAATAGTGCTTAAATGATGGTCGGAGTCGATAATTTCCATAAATTTATCGAAACTTTTGACAACTGGTCTTCCAGAGCGTGATGAACTTTTGTCTTAAAAATTATCGAAACGGAAGGGACGAGATGAAAACTGAGCATGTTGTTCTTGTTTCGAGCCCCTGGCTTGAGTTTCTTCGAAAAATTTTAAAATGTGGCATATTTTCTCTTTGCTGGTGTCTACCTTTGAAACGTGTAATAATGAGTCAAGCCATCAGAAAAGTTTCTCAGAAGTACTGTAAAATAATCGTTAGAACGGTAATAACAGCTAGCAAACCCCATGCGTATAGTAAAGAAATCGTTTGTGCTGCGTTGTTTTTTGACTTGTACTATTGATGATTCGTAAATTTTGCCAAAGATCGAAACAGATCACGTTAAGCCAGAAAAAGCCGGCCGTGAGGATACAGTAGGCGACAAAACCTATGAAAATTCATTGAAACGAATTAGTATCTTATTAAAGACTGAGCTCCAATATCTCTCTCATCAATATGAGGAGCTCTACTGGCTAATGTATGAACTTAACGCTAATATGACACTCTTCTCTAGTATGTACCTACATACTTATTTCTTGTATATAACACTAATAAGAAATAGTCACACTCACCTATCGTAGCGCAAGCGTTATCACCATACTTCGAATTTCGAAGATTTACCACTACAATTGGCATCGTCCCATTAGCCAATGAAAATAGATAACAAGCTAAACATTTGCCATGTAAGCTTTTTAACTTTATTGTTGCATATAGAAATAGTACGGAAATCATCAAAACTGTAAAATATACATGAAATATGTGGAAAACCATCAACAAAGAAACTGGATGTCCTCGAGTGAAAGACGACGATTTTGCAGGTCGGAAATGCTGCTTTAACGCTACAAAAAGTAGTCGTTTTTACATCGGATTGAGACTTATGATTAAAAATGGATCCCCCAAACCCCAAACGCAAAGAATTATATGTGAAATCTGGCCAACCAGCCAATCGACGGTAAAGCCGAATATCATTGACACCACGGTAATGTTCTGCATTTGGTGGAATCAGAAGTGCGTGCTGTATTATGAGCTTTAAAACGAAAAAAAAACTGTCTGTCTGTAGCTTTTAGTGGGCGTGGTCCAGGCCTCTAATTAGTTGAATGTA